TGCAAAGGAAAGAGAAAGCCAGCTGACAGGGAGGTGATACCCAATATAAGTAAGGAAATAGAAATACATCATGACACACTCGAAGAACTAGCAAATGTAATGGCTAAGCCATCATTAAAAGCATCTGAAAGATCAGGGCAAACAATGTACTAATTTTAACCATTAAAGAAATGGCTGGTGAACAGCTAAAAAAGGAAGCAATCATCACAAAGTATCCACATGGTGATTATCTATCTCAATAGAACTGGTTTCCTTGGTCACTCTATGTATATATATTTTCACCATCAGCCAAAAGGGGTACAGGACCCACAAAAAAGTTAATACTTCCTTGTCCTACATCAAATAATCTCTAAGGAAATGTAGGGTTCTTAGGGCATAAGAACCATGGAACCAAAAACATGGTAGTTAAGGCAATAAGGAAATCTTCATTACAAAAAAATCAGCAGACTACCTCCTTTTCTATATGTTCACTACCTATCCTTCAATAATCTACTCCAGAATTTTTCCAGGAATCAAATCTAGGCTCATTGCCCTACTAGGGTCAGCAGACTCTATTCTCAAAGACTTTATTCTCATCCTTTTATGTATTTTTTAAAATCAGGACAACACTTAGCAGTAAGTTGTTTGCCATGATCTTTCATGTAAGATTCCCTGTCAACAGGGAGGTTCTCTAGATACACCTACTTGAGGATGAAGTTATGCTGATTTAAGTCAACTGCTAGGACACATAGAAAGAAAGACAGAGCGCTTTTGGGTAAAGATCAACAGAGGGACAACTTAGATAAAGACAGAGAGGGTATGCTTCTCAAATTTGGAAATGACACAAAACTGGGAATATTGGGAGCAGATGAAGTTTGTCCGGTATAATTTCCTTTTTTGACAGGAGCATCAGGGAAATGTTATAGAAACATCTGCTTAGATTTTGTCAAAACATTTGATAAAGCAACTTATGTTATTCTCATGGAAAGCATGGAGAGATTAAGAATCAATCAAATTAAATGGATTTGGAAGTGGCTGGATGGCTGACTTTAAAGGGTAGCAGTTAGTGCTTCCATATCAAGTTGGCAGCTTCTGCAGGAATGTCCCAGATCTATATCTATGCTGGGCTCTGTGCATTTTAATATTAATTAAAATTAACTTATTTATTTGGATAAAGACATAGTATGTTTCTCAAATTTGGAAATGACATAAAGCTGAGAATACAGTGAGCAGACTGGACAACAGAGCTGGCTTTAGAAGGATCGTGACAGCTTAGAACTACAACTTCCAAGGTGTAACTCATTCTGGATAGATAACAATAGCTGACATTTATACAGCACTTTAATGTTTGCAAAACACTTTACAATTAGTATTTAATTTTATCCTCACAATAACCCTTGAAGGCAGTCACAATTATCCTCATTTTACAGATGAAATGTTACTGACTTGCCCAGCCTTATACAGCCAAGTCTGAGGACTGAGTTGAATCTAGGTGTTCCTGACTTTATTAGGCATTATAATTCATAAAGGAAATTGATAACCTGGAAAGTGTCGAATGAGGGTAAGCAGGATCTTGGGTACATAGAAAGAATAATAATGATTAGCTAACATTTATACAGCTTCTGTTATGTGTCAGGCACTGTGCCAACTGCTTTACAAATGTCATCTTATTTGATCCTCACAACCACCCCCGGATGTAGGTGCCATTATTATCCTCATTTTAGAGAGTGAAGTGACAGAGGTAGATAGAGGTGAAGTGATTTTCCTAGGATCACACAGCTAGGAAGAATCTGAAGCTGAATTTGAACCCAGGTCTTCCATACTCCAGACCCTGAGCTCTCTGGCACCACCCGGCACCACCTGGCCGCTCCGTAGTACATGAGTTTGAAGCATTTCAGGAAATCTAGTTTGGGAAAAAATTTCCGACAATTAGGGCTGTCCAAAAGTGGAAAAAGCTTCCCTAGGAGTTACAGGGGTCTTCCCTCCCTGGGGATCACAGGCAGAGGTTTGGTGGTTTTCATTCAATCAATCAACAAGCACTTATTTAAGTGCTTACCTACGATGCCAGTCACAGAGCGAGATCAAAACTCAATTACTCCAGCCCTCTATGTAACACGCCAGGATGGGCCTGGCCCTGGCACCAACGCCGGGAAACAAACGGGAAAACAAAGGTCCTGGCCCTCAAGGGGCTTAAATCAAGAACATGCGGTGTGGCGAAAACACTGGATTTGTAGGCTGACGTGGGGCTGGGCTGCCCTCCTGGGAAGGCCCTCTAAACCACGAAGCTATTGACAAGCTGCCGATCTTGTCACTGGACAGGCTGGGTTATTTGCCCGTGGCCTCACCGCTAGTATGTATCAAGGGAAGGAGGGAAGGTAGACAGGGAGGGAGGAATCCACTAGCTTTCCTCTCCAGTACAAAGCAGGGGGTAAAGTCAACACAATAACTTGGGGAGGGGGAGGCGGAAACACGAGTGGGACCCCGTGGTTGGCCACCTATGGTCAGAAGACCACCCGGCATCCCCGGCCAGGGGTCCTTTATCTGCAGTAGGTGAACTGGAATTGGCATATAAAACTGGTATATAACGCTATATGTCATCCTATTACTAAGAGCCTTCCCATCCAGAAAGATGCGAAGCCTCCTCGGGCTCCTAGATCCAAGAACCAGGAACAAAGTGACGCCTGCCCGTCGTCGAGGCAACCAGCTGGCATTAAGCGCCCCCTACGGTCAGGCGGGGCGCTGAGGGGGCGGGGCCTCAGACCGACCAAAACCAAAACGAGGGCGGAGGGGAAGCGGACCAGGGTGGGGAACCTGCGGCTCGAGGCCTTTCACTAAGGGGGTTTGTTCTGCGAAGTCTGGATTCAGTTAGAGGGCCACACACCCCCGCCTGGTGGGTCACCCCTCCTCTCCCTAAAGAAGCGGGGATGGGGTGGAGATATAAAAAGACTGCTTGTAAACGGAAAAATAGAGGACACTGGGAAGGGCCAGGGGTCAAGGGACGTCGCACTCCTCGCACGTGGGCTGGGCCGTCCCTCGAGGCCGCATGCGTAGTGCGCTGGGGCGCAGCTACGTAACCAGGCCCGCGCGCCGCTGCCCAATGACTAAGTGCACGCGCGCGGGGCGGGGCGGGTTGTGGGTGCAGGGAGGACTACGCTGGTCGCGCGAGGGACGGCCGGCGGTTGGTAGCGTGATGGGTCTGGCGCGCGACACGGACTCCGACTCTAGCTCCGCCTTGTTAGGCAGGAGCAACAGTAACAGCTACAGAGGCAGAAACGGAGGTCGGCTCGAGGCCTACCAAAAGAACAGGCACAGGCCGGCCTCGCTAGAGGAGGCAGCAGCAGAGGCGCAGGCGCAGATCGGCGTCGCTAGGCAGGGAGCGGCAGAGGCGCAGGCGCAGGCCTGCCTCACTAGGGGAGGCAGCAGCAGAGGAGCAGGCGCAGACTGACCTCGTTAGACAGCGGCGCCGGCACAGACCGGTGTCGTTAGGCAGACCGCCACGCAGGCGCAGGTGCCGACTGGCCTCGTTAGACCGCAGCGCAAGCGCAGGCGCAGACCGACCGACTGCGACACCTGCGCCCCGAGATGGGGAAGGAGTGCAAGTCGGTGTCGCCGCCGCGCCCCCCGGAGCAGCATGCGGAGCCGCCGCCCGCTCATCTGCCGTCGCCCAAGTGGTCGCCGCTGGTCAACCTGATGCCTCGGCTGATCCCCGTGATGCCGCCGCCGCCGCCGCCCCCGGTCCCCTCCCAGCGCAGCCCCATCTCAGCGCAGGAGCTCCCGAGCCGCCCCCTGCTCCCGAAGCCTCTCGGGACGGAGACGGTCCCGGAGACCCCGACCCCTGCGTGGCCCGAGCTGGAGGGCCCGGCCCCGGAGCCCCTGCAAGCCTGCACCTCCACGAAGTCCGACTTCAACGTGGTGGCGTTCCTGTCCAAGTGGGCCGACGACAACCTCTGCCTCATCCGGGTACCCCGGGGCCCCGGCGGAGAGGCGGGGGCGGGGGGCGCGGGCCGGGTTCCGGGGTCAGACGGGGGAGCCTCCCCCGGGACGACCCCCAAGGGACCCGGACCTTGGACGGGCAAAAGCGCCCGCTTCGTCTTCGCTTAGCTTTGGTTGCCTCGGTTACGTGACGCGCGATGTCTAGTGCATTGCGAGCCGGATTCTGGGGAGGGGTCCCTAGCGGCGCCCCGGGTCTGGCCGGGCTCGGACACGCCCCGGGGGAGCCCTCTTTCCTCCTCTGTAACGGGGGAGGCCCTTAGCGTATCCCGGGGGAAAGGGGGCGACCCCAGCCCCGCGCTGCTGCCCGCGCCAGCCCTCCTCCCCCCTTTGGACGTCAGCCTGGGAGAGTAACCGTAATGTCCCGGCCGATCCCGGCGCTGTGAGCCCGGCCGAGTGAAAGGAGGGGGCAGGACGCCGGCTTTGCAGTCAGGGGTGCGAATCTCAGCCCTGTTGCTCAGCCCCGCCTGGATGTTGGGCAGACCCTTCCCAGGCTCTGGCTCTGTCCCCGTCCCCGAGCGGCGGAGGTCCCGGACCAGAGGGGCTGCAAGGTCCTAGGAGGCGGAAGCTTCCCCCCTGGCCCAACATTGAAATCAGGAGGCCAGAAAGGGAGCTCTGTGTGTGTGTGTGTGTGTGTGTGTGTCCGTGTGTGTCCTGGTCCCCTGGTCCCCTTTAGCGCTCTGGTAAGATCTATGGACCCCTCCTCACAAGAAAGTTTTTAAATGATTGAAGGAAATGCTAACTAGCAGAGGTTTGTAAAAAACGATGTGTTTTTTTACCCATCCAACTGCGCAGTCCTGACATCTATCCATGGACCCTTGTTAAGGGTCAAGAACCCCTGATCTAATCCCATCCTTAGGAAACAGGTGGGAAGAGCATACTAAGGATAGATTCCTTAAGTAAGTTAAACTTATTTTAAGTAATAAAGTGATAGCAGTATATTTAGTGTTATTGTATTATATTAATATAAATAAAAATAAAGAAATAGAAAATAAAAATAAATAAATGAATTAAAAAATAAATAAAACAAACTGTTTACAAAACAATGACTGTTGAACAAGGAAAAAGGAAAACTACCTTTTATCCTAAATATTCTAGTCATAGACGTAGGCCTAAAGAGTCCAAGTATTTAAAAAAAAAAAAAGCCACCACAGGCAGCTGAAACATCCACAGAAGAGGTCTCTGAAGTGGGGTATGTCTGGGCTTAAGGGTAACTAAGAAGAAGGTAGGAAAAAAGAAAGTCTAGGAAGACATGTATCTAATTGTATTTACAAATTACAAAAAAAATTAATACCTTTTAAAAGTAAAATAAGTTTTAAGAAATTTAAACTTAAATGAAGTTATTTTAAAACAATTAAACTTGCGTTCTTTTATTTTTTACTGAAGTGTTGTAGCTGAAAGGAAGTCCAAGATTGTTTAAAAAAAAGATGAAGTGGAAAGAGTGCTAGAGTTGGAGTTAACAGGAGTTGGCTTCCAGTCCTGGGCCCTGGCACTTATTAAGCACCTGTCTGTGACCTTGGGCAAGTGACTGTAATACTCTCTGGGCCTCAGTTTCCTTAACTGAAAAATCTGGGGTCAGACTAGATTACCTTGATCGCTCTTTCACATCTAAATCTCTTATTGTAAGATGAATTAACAGGGTACCATATTGATTCAAATACAAATTCCACTCAATATATGCTTCCCCTTTTCCCTTCATTTCATGATACTGAGGAAAAAAGGGGTATGCGCTTAAAATGACACAAAATTATTTACAAAAAATATTCCACCTCGCACCTGATAAAGCCAATGCTGTTACTCAAAGACTGCACTCAGGATTCTGAAAAGCCAGGTTGGGAGACTGAAAGGGCAGCCGGCATTTAGACCACTGTGGTATTGCTTAATATCTCACTATGTGTGCAGTACTGGACCAGGCATTCTGGGTTTCAGAGAGAGTAAATGGTGTATTTTCTGTCTTTGAGGAAACTATGATGTAGTGGCAAGTTGGATGGTCCAAACTGTCATCACTGAATTCAGAAGAGGCTCCAGGGAGGAAGGAATTCTGGGGCTTTGGTTGGACCTTAAAGGATAGGTATGATTGGGATAGTTAGAGCCAGATGGGAAGAGGTGTTCACATTTAAGACTTTTGAAAAAGTTAATAAATTCAATGTTGGACACAGTTATTATGAATGATTAATGGCTTGTATTGTGTACTTTTTATAGAATATTAGTACTGGAATGGCAGTAGCAGGGGTCATGTTATTTGCAAGAAGTATTAAATTGGTAAGTTAACATTTGAAAATCCTTTAGGATAAGTAGCTCATAAGCAGTTTTAAAAGTTCTTGATTCAGTTTTAATTCAAGCAGTATGTCATTTATTTCTTATATTACAAGCATTTAATATTGAAATCTTTGAAAATTATATTTAAAATAGAGTACCACTTTTTATAATTACTATTTCATACTTGAAAAGGAAACTCAGAGGTTTGGTCTTAGAGAAGGTTGCCATTAGAAAATTTACATTTCATTCTCCCTAGGATATCTCCAAATGTTTTTCATGGTGGTTTTATCTAGTACTACGGAGATTTCTGCCTCATTCAGCAGAAATTCATTTAATTAAATAGATGGTTTTTGACAATTTAAAAGAAAAAGATCATTAATTTTATTGTAGCTAATCATCATATTGTTACCATGAAACCGTGATTTATTGGTGTCCTGTCAGTTTTTTATTGTTTCTGGAGTTGAAACTTATTTTCATTTCTGTTTCATTGTCTTAAATGCCACTATCAAAGTGTCCAGAAGAAAAGAAATTCAAAAATCATTAAGTGTTTTTTGCTCCTGTCAGTCACAGTTTTGTGTTTGTGACTGAGGAGTTTATTCTCACCTCAGTTTTTGTTTCCTTTTCCTACACTTCTTTAACTGGATACATTGTAAAGCAAAAAGCCCTTGTTTTTTCTCTTCCTTAATCCATAAAGTAATACCAGGCTTTCCTCTCAAGTTGTCTTTATGTCATTTGTAACTTGGGATTCTCTTATTTTTTAAATGTCATGAATTCAGGTTAAACTTTAAAAATTATAAACCTATTAATTGCTATAACAAAAAGTCAAATGAACACTTGAACGAATAATCTCACCCATCTCCCTGTCTTCAATAAGGTAGGAATGAACAGACAAGAAGATATGATACTTTTTTTTTTTTAAAGACAGTTGGGGTTAAGTGATTTGCCCAGGGTCACATAGCTAATAAGTGTCAAGTGTCTGAGTCTGGATTTGAACTCAGGTCCTCTTGACTCCAGTGCTCTATCCAATGCACCACCTACCTGCCCAGATATATTTTAAAAAATTTTTACCTCCAATTATTTTGATCTCAGAGGAAGTTGTTTTCTTTTAACTAGGTGACTTCTGTGGTTTAGATTTTTGCTTCATGAATTGCTCAAAGAAATTAATTTTTAGCATGTGTTTTTTTTTAAACATATTTTGAGATTCTTTGGACCTTACAGTTATTTTTAGTATATTTCCCTAAAAAGCTGTTTCTTAGTTCCACATAGGTTTCACACAGACTACTTTGTGCCTTGAAGCTTTCAGATTTACCAGATTAAAAAAAAAACCTCTCCTTCTCAAGGAGTCTGGTAGCAGATTTTGCTGCTATTTTATAGAAACAAAGATGGTTTTTGTTTCCTCAGACCCTCTTTGTTCATTGTCTTGACTGAAGAACCCTCTTGTACACGTGGCCCTGGGTGTGTGGTACTGCTCTGGCCATTGTCACTGGGTTCCCTCCCCCCTTCCTTATGGTGTCTTCCTTTTTGTGCTGTCCCTTCCTGATCTCCTCTTTCTTTAGTGTCTAGTGTCATTTTCATCTCTGACTCCAGGGTATTTTGAAATTACAAATTACAAGTTGAATGAGAAATAACTAAGTGAGGATAATGTTGTTTAAGATATTTTGCTAGATGTGTAAGAGTCAATAAATTCTTGTTTTAATGACAGAAATACTGAAACAGTTTTGGCAAGAATTTTTGTGTTATATTTTTTTCCTTCAAATCAACAGACAACCAAATTTATAAGTCCTTCAGAGATTCCTAAGGAATTTATAAAAAATAACGTTAAGTTACGAGGACGACTACACCGGGTAACTGAAAAGGGGCTGGAGTTGGAGCATATTCCCATTCACGTCCCTCTAATTTCATCATGGAGAAGTAAGTAAAGGTAGAGGCATAAGGAATAAATATAAATCAGTAACATTTGGGAAGTCCTACTATTCTGTGTTTTTGGTAAAGTAGGAAAAAACCCCATATGACTTTACCTAAGAACGTTAGGAAAATGTTGAAATTAAAGTTATTCCTCTCATTTTATACACATTGGATTTGTGACAGAGAAGAGAGAGGATTTACTGAGCACCTGATGTTAAACTGGTATTGCTGCATCAGCTGCTGGTTGGTCTTCCTGCCCCAGGTCTCCCTCCACTCTATTCCATCCTCTCTCTTCAGTCAGACTGATCTCCTTAAATCTCAGGTCTGAACAAGTCACCCCTTGCCCCCGATGTGGTACATTGATTAAGCTGCTTCTGTAGGAAATGATACCTTTTCCTTTTTTTTCTTTCCCCTGTTGGGGCTTCAGTAGCTTGCTCTCCATATAGTTGTTTGGTTGGAATTGTTGTAGATGGCCATAGTTCTCCCTCAGTTTGTCATTTCTTATAATTTGGGGTTGATTTTTGTCCTTTGGTAGTGACTTAATGAGTTGACTACATACAGACATCTCATCCTGAAATGAATCTCACATTTGGAACCATTTGTTTCTTGTTGAGATAATTTTGTTTTTTAGTGATACTTGTAGGGCTCCGAGTAATGAATAGTTAAAATCTGTTGGAGAGTTGGTCAAGAAGTTGCTTGTCTTAAACCAAGAGCTTCTTGAGAGCAAAGTCAAAGTGAGGTTTTAATGTTTCTTTTTGTTCTTTGTCTGGATCTTATTCTCTTTGGTATAAATTAAAGTCCTTGTGGAATTTACATTATTATATCATTTTTGTTGTTTCTTAAATAACTCATGTGAATTTAAAGACACTCAGAAAACTTAACATTGGTGAAAAGTCTTTCCAAAATCTGTCATTACTAAAAATGAAAGACTTTGGGGGGGCGGAGCCAAGATGGCAGAGGGAAAGCAGTGACTTGTTTGAGCTCACCCCCCAAACCCCTCCAAGTACCAGCAAAAAAATGGCTCTAAACAAATTCTAAAGCAGCAGAACCCACAAAAAAACAGAGTAAAACAAATTTCCAGCCCAAGGCAACCTGGATGGCTGATCGGAAAGGTATATCACACCGGGCTGGGAGAGGAACACAGTTTGGCGTGGCTGCAGCGACCCTGGAGCAGGCCTCAGAGGACTGAATCGAGGGCAGCTGTGGTGGTTTCCAGACTTCTCAATCCCTGAACACCAGAGATAACTTAGAAGGTCAATGGGAAAAGTCTGTTACTGTGGTGAGAGAAGAAGCTAGATCTTAGCCACCCTGAGGGCAGCAGCTGGCTTCTGAGCTTCCAGCCCACAGACTGAGGGGGAATCGAGTGACTGCTCAGAGGGGGATTGCAAGGATCTCTTTGCCAGTGCTGAGGCAGGAATCTCTTGCTTTGCCTGTGCTTGGATCTGGGTCACAGTTCTGAGGGGCGGTCCTGGGGTGAGGAGGAACACTGGCGTGGTGGAGCTTGTGGCTGTGGAGAGGAAACACCTCAACCTTTATCATAGCACCTTGGAAGAATTGACACTTTTCAGGTCCCTAGAAGTATCTCTGAAAACAGCTGTACAAAACCCCAAAGCTTGGGACAGGACATTCTCCACATTGGAAACAGACTCTTACCTTAACGAAGAGTTTAAAACTCAAGTAATTGGGTGGGATCATGAGCAAGCAGTGCAAAAAGAGTCAGACTATATTATCTTACTTTGGTGACAAAGAAGATCAAAACATACAAGCAGAAGAAGAAAACAAAGTCAAAGCTCCTACATCCAAAGCCTCCAAGAAGAATATGAATCAGTCCCAGGCCTTGGAAGAGCTCAAAAGGGATTTTGAGAAGCAAGTAAGAGAAGTAGTGGAAAAAGTGGGAAGAGAAATGAGAGTGATGCAAGAAAATCATGTAAAGCAAGTTAACAGCTTGCTAAAGGAGACCCAAAAAAATACTGAAGAAAATAACACCTTAAAAAATAGCCTAACCCAAATGGCAAAAGAGGTCCAAAAAGCCAATGAAGAAAAGAATGCCCTAAAGAGCAAAACTGGACAAATGGAAAACGAAGTCCAAAAGATTACCGAAGAAAATACTTCCTTAAAAATTAGAATAGAGCAATTGGAAGCTAGTGACTTTATGAGAAATCAAGACACTGTAAAACAAATCCAAAAGAATGAAAAATTAGAAAATAATGTGAAATATCTCATTGGAAAAACAACTGACCTGGAAAATAGATCCAGGAGAGAGAATTTAAAAATTGTTGGACTCTCTGAAAGCCATGATCCAAAAAAAGAGCCTAGACGTCATCTTTCAAGAAATTATCAAGGAAAACTGCCCTGATGTCTTAGAACCAGAGGGCAAAATAGAAATTGAAAGAATCCACCAATCTCCTCCTGAAAGAGATCCCCGAAGGAAAACTCCTAGGAATATTGTAGCCAAATTCCAGAGTTCCCAGGCCAAGGAGAAAATATTACAAGAAGCCAGAGAGAAACAATTCAAGTATTGTGGAAACACAATCAGGATAACACAAAATTTAGCTGCTTCTACATTAAGGGACCGCAGGGCATGGAATATAATATTCCGCAGGGCCAAGGAGATAGGATTACAACCAAGAACCACCTACCCAGCAAAACTGAGTATAATTCTTCAGGGGAAAAAATGGTCATTCAGTGAAATAGGAGACTTTCAAGCATTCGTGATGAAAAGACCAGAGCTGAATAAAAAATTTGACTTTCCAGTACAAGACTCAAGTGGAACATGAAGAGGTAAACAGGAAAGAGAAATCATGAGACTTATTAATGTTGAACTGTTTACATTCCTGCATGGAAAGATGATATTTGTAACTCATGAGACCTTTGTCAGTATTAGGGTAGTTGGAGGGGAAAAAATTATAGGTATGTATATATAGATAGATAGATGGATAGATAGATAGATAGATAGAGGGCACAGGCTGAGTTGAAGATGAAGGGGTCATATCTGGAGAATAAAATTAAGGAGTGAGAGAGGATTATACTAGAAGAAGGAGAAAGGGAAAGGTAGAATGGGGTAAATTATCTCACAAAAAAAAAAAAGAAAAGGCTCTTACAGTCAAGGGGAACTGAGGGAAGGTGAGAGGAAATGAGTGAATCTTATTCTCATAGGATTTGACTTAAGGAGGGTATAACACACACTCAATTGGGTATGGAAATCTGTCTTACCCTACAGGAAAATAGGAGGGGAAGGGGACAAAAGAGTTAGGGGGATGATAGAAAAGAGGGCAGATTGGGAAAAGGGGTAATCAGAAGCAAATGCTTCTGAGAAGGGTCAGAGTCAAAAGAAAGAATAGAATAAATGGGAAAGGATAGGATTAAGGGAAATAGAGTTAGTTTTTCACAGCATGTCTACTATGGAAGTGTTTTGCATAACTGCACATGTATAGCCTATATTGAGTTGCTTGCCTTTTCAGTGAGGGTGGGTGGGGAGAGAGGAAGGGAGAAAATTTGGAACCTAAAGTTTAAAAAACACATGTTTAAAAAAAATGTTTTCACATGCCACTGGGAAATAAGAAATACAGGAAATGGGGTACAGAAATCTATCCTGCCCTACGGGAAAATAGAAGGGGAAGGGGGGAAGAGATAGCAGGTAAAGCAGACTAGGGGAAGGGGTATTCAGAATGCATGGCATCTTGGGGTGGGGGGAGGGGCGAGATGTGGTGAAAATTTGGAACTCAAAATCTTGTGGAAGTCAATGTTGAAAACTAAAACTAAAAAAAAAAGAAAATAAAAAAAAGAAAAAAATGGAAGACTTTGACTTTAAGGATTTTTGTTAACAATTGTGTAATAATTGACAAAATATCAGGTATGTGTGGAGAGAGAGATTTGTTAACCCTGGAATTATATGCCACACATCAATGACATGGCATTTCTTTGGCATTTTAACCTCTGTCATCACCTTCCTATTTATCTCCTAAGGAAAACTGATGGTAAAGAAGTAGATAGGAATTTGAGTATTTTGAAAATAAATGTTACCTTGTGATTTTTCAAACTAAACTTGGAAATTGTTATTTGCATTATGTTTCTCTGGCTAAAAACATGACTCCCTTTACCTGTGTAGGGCAGCCATGTGGGGTTCTGCTGATAAAGCTAGCTGGAGTGGAGCTCACTGAGGCTGGTCACCTGTGGTTGAGAAAGGAGTTAAAACCTTTCCAAGTACTGTGGTTCCAGCTGCTGGCAAGGGACAATTCATCACTTCTTTGCTACCTGTTGGTGAATCGAGTAAGTACTGAGAGAAAAAGCAGCTAACATCTTAGGTTTTTCACATGTACCCCAAGTTTTCTATATTTTGTAATTTAGAGTATTATCATGTACTTAACAATAATTTTCTGCCTCTCCTTTAGGCTGATTGATTCCCCTTCTCCATCTCTTTCTCTTGCTATCTCACTTTATCTTTTGTTTTACTTGTCTCTAGTTTTTGTTCAGAATTGGGTTATTCCAGGGCTAGGCTCTCCCCGGGATGTGCATTAGGGTGTCTTGCCCAGGATTCCTGCACTGACCTCTGCCTCCTGGGCTTAGGCTGCTCTAGATCCATCAGTCAGTCAGTCTACATTGATTAAATGCCTACTGTACGTCAGGCACTTTGAGGTTCATAGGGCTGGCCAGATCTCTATGGACAGAGGGTTAGAAGAACCTCAAATCCCCTACATCTGAGCACTGCAGGACTGCACGCGTTGCTGCCTGAAGCTGTTGCTGGGTATGTTAGAGATCCGTTTCCTAAGGCTTGCTCAAGGGAGACCCCCACTCTTTGAGTCTCTAGACACGAACCTTGCAGGCTGCACAGACATGTCTCTGGCCAGTTGCTGAGCATGTTATGGAGCCACCCTTCCCTGTATGCCCTGGCTTTGCTGCTAGGATCCTTTCTTATTGTCCAAATTCTAACGCCGTTCTGGGAAGAACAGGAAGAAATCATTCATTGTAGTTTCATTGGATTTCTTGACCATTTTGGTGGCGGAGAGATTTACTGGAGCCTATCGGTGTCAACTGCAGTGTCTGCCTTCCTCTCAGGCAGCCAGATGGTAGGAGCCTTGAACCCAGTCCATCAGTTTTGCAGTCATTTCTGCCCATTGGTCCTGTTTTGATTCTCTGGAGACATCTGTTAATCTTCTGTAGTAAGGGTTGGTTTTCTTTCTTAAGGCTTTTTGTTGTTCAGTCATTTCAGTTGTGTCTGACTTTTTGTGGCCCCATGTGGAGTTTTCTTGGCAAAGACACTGAAATGATTTGCCATTTTCTTCTCCAGCTCATTTTACAGATGAGGAAACTGAGGCAAACAGGGTTAAGTGGCTTGCCCAGGGTCACATAGCTAGCCAGATTTGAACTCATGAGTCTTCCTGATTCCAAGCCCAGTGCCCTTTTACAGCTAGCTTTATGTTTTTACAGGTGCACGACTCTTAAATTATGGAAAATTGACCCTATGAAAATTATAATCTATTACTGCCTGACATGCAGTTGAAAATCCATAGAAAGAGGAAGCGGTTTGTCCAAGTAAAACGAGGGTGTGGCCTCTGCCCTCAACCTAGGCATTTCCTAACTCCGAGGGTGAGTGTGCCTTCAGGGGAGCCCCCACCCTTGCTGAGCCCCTGTGCCTTTGGCCACGCCCACTCTTGACTTCTCTGAGTGAAGGCCCTAAAGGTGATATCATTCCCCTCACACACACACACACCCAGATTCATTACCTTTAAAAGATGGAGTTTTGGAGGTGATGGGACTACTTTTTCCTATGAACAGCCATGAGTGTTTTCCTGGCCTCTTCATGGAATGCACTAACTAAATGTAAGGTCTGCGTCTTTCATGCTTCCCTGAGCCACATGCTCATCTCATGACTCTTAGAGCTTTCGTGCTTCTGCATGGCTACAGTCTCCTCAGTGTGGACATCCCTGCCCTTGGTGCTGATCACAGTCCCACCCCGGCTCAGGTTTGTTTCTGTTTTTGTATTTTACAAGTTCCGGTGGAAGACGAGAGCTGTCCTGTGGTTATAGCTGAGTTGTTATTATCGAGTCCATTAGGTAAATCAAACTGCCTGACTTGTTTCAGGGTAAACAGTAGCATAAAAGGGTACACAGCAGTGGCTAAGTGGACCAGTGGTTTTACTGTAGTATCTGGCAAATCCCTGGCTGAGAGCTGGAAGCAGTTGTAGAGGCCATCTAGGAAGGAAGAACTTAGTGCCTGCTGTGTGCCAGCCACTGTATTAAGTACTTTGCAAATATCACATTTGATCCTCACAACCCCGGGAAGAAAAGGGGCTATTATGATTTCCATTTTACCATTGAGGAAACCGAGGCAGAGGTGAAGTGACTTGCCCAGTCCCACAGCTAATAAGTGTCTGAGGCAGGATTTAAATTCAAGTCTTCCTGACTCCAGGCACACTGTGCTCTCTAGGATCAGTCTCTGCCTGTGACAGCCTTCTCTAGGACATCATCAAGAAAAGGTCAGCTTTCACTTGAAGACTTGTCATGAAGGGGAACTCACTCTCACCCATAGCAGCCCATTCCACTTTGGGATCAGAAGTTTTCCCTTTTACTAAGCCTAAATCTGCGTCTTCGCCTGACCCATCCACTGATCTCTTTGGTGGGACAGTCCTTCAGATACTTAAAGGGTAGCTGGGAAAGTCTTCTCTTTGGCCCACCTTGGAGCCATTGAGCCCTCTCTCAGTCATAGCCCCAGTGGAGATTAAGGACAGAAAAAGGTGGCAGCCCTTGTGTGAGCAGAGAACTGGTGACAAAGGGTTTGCCCACTGAAAGAGCCAGTTGGGATTTTGCACATCATGGAGTAGGATGCATCTATTCCTCTATTTCTGCTTTCTTCACTTTGTATCACTTCATATGGGCCTTCCTGTATTTCTTCAATTTCCGAGTAGGAAGTCATTGCTTCTTAGATCATTTGCATGTGCCTTTACATTCATATGCCATAGTTTGTTTTGCCATTCTTCAGTCAGTTCAGCTTTCCCTCTCTGGCTTCTCATCTATTCTTGCTAAGTTTTTGCTTCTGTCTTTTCGAAAGTCTCTAGACGACCTCACCTTTTCTTCCTCTCAGGAAGAGAAAGTGGACTTTCTTAAGAATTAGAGAATTGGAGGCTGAAGTTCTCCCTAACTTCTTTCTGAGCCCTTTGAAATCTACTTTCCCAAAATTGACGGCCCGTGTCAGGCAATACCCAGCTTCCTTCTTCTCTACCATGAATTCTAAGGTGAAGCAGGATCTTCCCATGCACCCTGTCATCTCTCCTTCCACAGACAGTTCTTGCTCACAACCATGGCCAGAAGAACAGTCTCTTTTGTCCCTTTATCCACTTTAGAAAGATGACTTTTATATCAGTGTACAAAGTGCACTTTCCCCACCACAAACCTGAGACGTACATAATTCCAAACAGTATAATCCTCTTTTGTAGAGAAGGAAATGTGATTTGTCCTTGGTCAGCCAGCTAGCAAGTGAAGAGCTGAGAGTTGAAAACCCAAATCAGTCAATGACTTCGATCAATGATGAATGTTTATCAGGCGTCCAGGAGATACTTCAAGAAGGATTAGAGACCTTGGCTTAGATCCTAATTCCCACACTAAATAGCCTCATGAACTTGGACAAGTCATCTGTAAAAGGAAAATGTTAATACGTGTTGCTATATTTATTGTGAAGTCATTTGTAAATTGGAAGTCCCTGGATAAGTGTGAGCCATTGTTATACCATAATACATCTCCTCAATCCTTTGACAAATAAGGGGCTCCACATTAATGAATTAAGCTTGCTTTTTCATGGGCTGAAGCTTTAGATGGAAGTATCTGAAAAATAGTTTTGTAGATGCTCATATTTCTCTTCTTGGTAATTTGATGCCACCTTTCTGACCATCCATTATTGGGCTTGTGTTTGTCTCCTCTGTGCCCATCTCACTGCTGACCCTCTTTCTACTTTGTGGTTTGTAATCTGCCTTATTATGACTGAAACCAAGTAACTGGACTAATTAAGAAGAATTATACAGTAAATAAAATAAATAGAGTCAGAGGGAGAACCGAAGGGCACAGCTCCAGGGCCGGGGTCTGGCCCTTGGATCCCTCTTTGTCTCTTTCCTGGAGTCCTGAAGCTGTCAGAGTCAAGGGACTCCTCTGTAAGTTGTATGTGTTTACATATGCAGCCACAGGGGTTGGGGGAAGGAGGGGAGACCTTTGAGTAGATGATGCTAAGCCTGTACTCTCTTTTATTCAAGGGCTTGTATTTTACCGTGAGTTTGAATGAAGAGATTTTGAGAAGAGGGCTCGGCAAAACTGTTCTTATCAAAGAGCTAGATCATAACTCTAGGGTGTATTGGACAATTCACAAAAACCTATTAAAAGCAGAGCTAAAAGCCATAAGAAGAGGAGAAGGAATTTGGAAAGAAGATACTGAGAAGTCAAGTTATATGGAGAAATATAAAGGTTCGTGGAGAGAAATATGGAGTGAAGACCATTCTTTTAAGAGAAGACTATTATGGGAAATGGACCCAAGGAGAAAGTCCTTTTATGAAAGATTAAAGAGCCAGTGTGAAAAATATAAAGATAAATTAAGTAATTCCAGTTTTATGTTGAAGGTCAGAGAGTTTCTGAGTCGTGTGAAACTTGGTAAAAGATAGTGAAGTGTTGGAAGATTTCTAGAGGTCACATAATTGGAAAATACCTGAAAAGCCATGGAGTTACGTATGTTTACTTGAGAAGTATTGATGAGAAGGCCCCAAATGATCAGAGTTTTAGACTTTACAACAAGAAGAAGTCTAATGGGATTTGAATGTTAAAAAAAGAGATGACTTTTGTATATTTTAGATTGGAATTTAAACAGATTGTGGCGAGTATGCTTTTTATGTGCTTTTGTGGAAATGAAAAATACTGTATAATAAATCCTCAAGTTTCAGGTTGTGAAAGAATCATGGTATCATTTTAAAAAGACTTTTACTTAAAATTGTTTTGAATGGTATTATGCAGTTGCATTTGAGCCATACTTGTATTTATTTAAAAATTGAATCAGCTTTCACAAATTTGGAATCATTAGAGAGATGTCCACCCTTCCTGCATCCCAGTCCTGCCTCTCATTTTATGGGGTGAGAGCTGTGCTGCTTTCGTGGGACAGCAGACGGTAATGGAGGGAAAGACTTGGGTTCCAGTATTGCCTTGGGAGCCAGGAGCAACTCACTTAACCTCTGATTTCTGAAGGTCACTTAGCTCTCAAGCAGTTCTCTTAAGAGGAGGGGCCCTTTCAGTCACAGAACATTGATATTCAAGAAGGTGTTTCAACATCCTTCCTAGGAGAAGGGATGAATGGTTGTCCTGGGCACTGAAAACACGAGTTGTATTCATTTAGTCCCGTACATTGACTTCTATTAAATATGAAATTTGGTCATTTGTGGTTGTACTCTGTTTATGGTAAAAGCAAAATAAATCAACAACTACGCATTACATAATTAGTATTTTACTGTGAACAAAAAAGTTTCCTGAAATGCTATTAGATTCTCTTAAGAATTTTGGGATTAATGGAAAATATTGGTACTTTATGATTTATAACTGCTAGTTTTCTCTTTTTTTCTGATGGTACAAATACAAACAGGTTGGAGATAATTCATTTAATTAATTATTAATGTTCTAAATGTTAATTATTATTTTATTTATACTTGTTTATAATTAATGTAATAAAACAACTATAAATTATTAATAATTAATTGTCAATTAATGTTCTAAAAAGTTGCTGAATGGGACAGAGAACCTCTGGAACTGTGATAGTCCAGTAGTCCAAATGAAGAGCATGATAATGATAAACACAGTCAAATTCCATGACTTACTGGTTCTCTCCTTGCCTTTTTAGTCTCCTTTCATTGCTAGCCTACCTCATCACTTAGATAACTTCACTTTTTAGTGGTTCCATCATCTGCTTTCACTTCTTTAGGACTTCTTTTTGTGTGTACCATCCCTCCAACTAGCCACCTTTCCCATCACATCTTTCTTATGGCTTTTCATGTGCCTGTTTTGTAACTATTGGTTCCTAAGCTGGTATATGTTCTAGTTATAGGCTCTAGGTTTGTGGAAGACCAGTTGAATGTATTCATGCACCACAAGCTTTACTCCACTTTCTCCACATCTAAGGCTAAAACCAGCTTGATTTGATAGATTTGAGTGCAAAAAAACTTAAAATAGTTAAACAAAATGAATTAAATATATGTGTTGAACAGCTACCATGTACAAGGGACCCACGTTATCCCATTCATCACCTCATGGTATTCTGAAAGGTAAAATATATTATACCTTCAGTGGTTGTATCCTCAAGTATTAAAAGTCTAGATATCGAAGTTCTAATTAAGGCAAGGTTATTTAGATTGAAATTATATTCAGATTAACATGCTCTAAAACGTCTTTCTGCTTTTCTCTACATTATTTCTTCCATTTCCTTTCTCTTTTGTGTTGAGTATCGGTAAAAGAAAAGCTTTTCTTGGTTTTAGTAGAAAATTGGTCAAGTTTAAGTTTCTCTAATAAAGATCTCATTTCCAAGATAATTAAAGGAACTGATGCAGATTTATAAGAATAAAGGCCATTCCCCAATTGATAAATGGGTCAAAGGATATGAATAGGCAGTTTTCCAAGGAAGAAATCTAAAGTTATCAACTCCTAGAAAAAATATCCCATATCACTAATAGAGACATACAAATAAATTTTTACATACATCAGGTTTTACCTTGTGCTCATGAGATTATCAAAGGTGACAAACAATGGGATAAATCTAGAGAGTCTGTGGAGAAAGAGGCATATTAATACACTTTATTGGGTGGGGCTGTGTACTGCTGGGAAGCAATTTGTCACTATGCCCCTAAAAGTTACTAAACTCTTCATTCTTTGAGTCAGTGTGGATACTAGACTTAACCACAAAGGACAGACAGAAGAAGGACCCACATATACAGAAATAATTGCTGCTGAAATGAAGTGAGCAGGAGAACGATTTACGTAACAGCACTCTGAAGATAAACAGCATTGAACGACAGAAGACCTCTGATCATACCGATGGCTAACCGTAACTCCAGGAGGATGAATGAAGCATGATAGCCATCCCCTGACGACACAAGGGTGATCATGCAGGTGCTGGGAGAGGGACTTTTGGACGTGGCTAGTGTGGAAATGCTTTTTTGCTTTATTATGCATATTTGTTAAAAAGGATTTTGTGGGTGTGGTGGTTTTCAGTGGGAGAAGGGTAGATGAAAAATTTTATTAATTGAAGAAGAAGTTAAATAGAAAATTACAGAGATGCACTGTGGAAGTATGTATAAAAGTGTGCCAATTCACAGTTATTCTAGACCTAGTTTTAGATAAAATTAGCTGTTAGAATTAAAATTTAAAAAAAGAAAATATAAACCGTCAGAGGTAAAGCTGCATGCATAAGTAATTGGCAGTTCTAGAGGACACTACTAAGAGTAGATATATAGCTCCTTAGTAAATGAAAGCAGCATATTTCCTGCTTCCCTGGACAAAAATACTGCTTTCTAATTTCAGCTTACTAAATAATTACTTGCAGAGCTATTTTAAGCTTGAGAACGGCAGTAGGCAGTTTACAGCTTACGTGTAGTACCCACACACTTTGAGGGAGATGGGCAGCTTGGAGTTCAGTGAGCTCTAACAGGTGTCGGGCGAGGAGCTGGCACAGTCTTCTGCTTCCCCCCAGTCAGGATGGTCAGAGCCTCTTGGAAAAAGCCAGACCTCGGTAGCGTCAGGCTCTTTTGGACGCTCCATCCTGTTACACAAGTCATCTTCCTTGGGCTTCACAGGGACCACCTGTCCTTGGTTCCCTTCCTTACCTCTCTGTCTCCTTCACTGGCTTCACATCCTTTTTTTTTTTTTTTGGTGAGGCAATTGGGGTTAAGTGACTTACCCAGAGACACGCAGCTAGTGAGTGTTATGTGTCTGAGGCCGGATTTGAACTCAGGTCCTCCTGACTCTAGGGCCAGTGCTCTATCTACTGTGCCACCTAGCTGCCCCTGTTCACGTTCTTTTATTATCCCTTCATACGAATGGCTCTTAGTCATCTTTTCGCTTGGTCGTCTCGTTCAACTTCAAGCTTCAGCTACCCCTGGGGTGTGTGGTTCCCATATTCGGGCCTGACCTGCCTTCAGAGCTTCACTGAAAGCACTGACACCTCAATCTCAGCTCCCCTTAGACCAAGCTTGTCTTTCCCTGGGTCTGCTCCTTCTGACTTGACCGTTTCTCTGTCTGCAGCCGCCATTGTCCCATTTCCCCAGGCTGGCCACCTTTCGTCATCCTAGCCTCTTCCCTCATTCTTGTACCAAGTCGTTAATTCTGTTTCTGTGACCTCTCATCTTTCCCTTCCTTTTAATTCCTGCTGCTACCATTCTAGCGTGGGCCTTCGCTACCGTACCTGGGTTATTCCAGTTAAGTTCTAACTAGGCTTCCTGCCTCCACTGTTACCTCCTTTAATCTGGTCTATACCAACTGGTCTTCCCTGTGCGTAAATCTGGTTCCATCTCTCCTGTTTTCAAAAATCAGGTGTTCCCTATTACCGCTTGAATCAAGTTTTAACTCCTTTGTCAGGCATTTAAGGGCCTCTGCAATTTGGTATCCCCCTCCCTTTCCAGCCTTAGCACATGTTACTTTTGTATGTTACATATGATACATATGTGATTTTGTAATGATTATCTCTTTCATCGAGTCAAACTGGGTTACTCTGCCCCTTAAATTGCCTTTCCTGCTTTTGTGACTTTGTGCTCTCCCTCCTTTTCAAAGCTGAATAATTATTCCCATTATTTAAAACTCAGCTCTGATGGTAATAACCTTCTCATTTAGACTTCACTTAACCTTGCTTAGCATCAATCTGACGAAGTTACATAATGTGTATTGTAGAGAGCTCCATGAAGGCAAGGACCAGGATTTATCTAAATTTTGCATTTGACCTAGCACCAAACACAGCAGCCACTTAATAAATAATTGATGTGCAAATTAGTGAGGTTGGAGTTTGTTCCAGGAGGGCAAGGAACACTGTTGTGTCTTTTTTTGTAAGAGGGAAACCATCTTTCCGTTTTTTCTTCCTTTTTCTCTTGCCTCTTAACAAGAGGCTTCTAAGCAATTTGCAATGTTCCTGAATCTCTTTAGAAATAAGTTCTTTATAGATGCAGATTTTCATTATATATTCTGTCCTATTTTCCCTTCTGTTTCTCCAGGAGACTTCTTTTTCTGCATCATGTAACTGAGTAGTGTAATGCTGTTACATAGCCTGGACAGTCACTTTGGAGTTGTGCTTACTGAGCCTAGTTCTCTGGCACCCAGAATAAATGTCAAACAGGCATTAGCAAGGCTTTGTAGGCTCACTAAGAGCTGTTCAACAGGATCTTGGAAGAGATCCAGCACAAGTTCCACACTGTAGAGGAATTCACTGATGGATGGTGAGGTCTTCTAGATTCTTCTATCTGAGGGATGACTATACCTGTTAAATCAAGTCACAAAACATTGCAGAACCTCTTCAAAAATACGTGTAATCCCTCAAAAGAGTTTCGCCTGTCCTTCCACAGAAGAAAAGTCGAGTGGATAAAGAATTTCTGCAGGGTCCAGATTATGCTAGCACTGGGCTCCTTGACAGCAGTGTTAGCAGAGTACTAGATTCTATCTATCATGCCAGCAAAGCTCAGAGGACAGGCTAGGCAACAGAGGACTGGCCCTTCTAAATGGAGAGAGCATTATTGCCAGGAGGACAGCCCTTTGGTTGTTACCATTATTAAAATTTTTGCCATGACAAGTCAAAAAAAGATAAAAGTATCACATGGCACCCCATTCTGCCCGTGGCACATCTCTAGAGGAAGGGCACTGTTTGCAGATTTCCTACAGCGTCAACATAGCATGTTGGTACTCTGGATACTGGCCTCCTCTTCAGACGCTCATGACTGAGGCTAAGTTTGAAGCGTACTAGTCTGATTCTCGCTGTGAGATGAAAAGCACCAAGCAGGGGAATGGGAGGATGGCCGCCATGTTTTCTGTGCACAGATGAATAAAGGAATTGCCTTAACCATGCACCATTGTTTCACAGCCTCCTTGGTTGAAATACAGCCTGTGTGATAAAGCTCATTGCAAAAGATGAGGAGATCGAGATGTTCTATGGAGGAACTTGATATAACTCTCCAAGTTAAACGTATATTTAATGTTTGGTCATGTCAATATAAAGGTGGGGTAAGGGAGGAGAGCATGACATAGGAGAGGTCCAGGGCTCATAGGTTAAACAGAAACCTCGTGCCACCATATCATGAGTACTTTCTTCCAAAAAGCAAGTCAAAAACACCAATAATACAATTTTAAAATAGATTGTATTGTAAGACTTATTACTGATGTGAGCCATTCCCAAATCAACTATCTCTGTATGTTATCAAACTAAGAATTGAAGTGAGAAGAAAGTAGAGTATGCAGTTGAGGCAACTCCTCCTGGATCTGTTTAATCAAGTTATTGGCTACAAGAAATGGCAAATGGATAGTAAAGTCACTTAATATATGTATTAGATGAAGTCAGCCATATGTACTCAAACAAGAGAAGGGATTTAGTATGCACATGGTGGCTGGCAGTGAGCCCA